GTCCATCTACCAACCCTCTCAATGAACGCTCGAGCGAAGAGGCCTTGCCCCCAACCTATAGTACTTTCACTTATGGGGCAAAAGTCACCCTTTTCGTATGTGGATCCATCCACATCGACGTAAATGCTGATGCGATACATGCATCTATTCAATGACCTTGAGCCACTTGCTCATCCCCGTCAATGTATTCCAGAATCTCACCTAATAGGTATAGACGCTAATGGGTATGATGCAAGCTATTATTCCACTCTTACCCCAACTAGTCCAATAGGTAATGCCACCATCTCAACCGTAGTCAGTAGCTCAATCGCCATCGGCATTAGCGCCCATCGGCACCAACATCCAACAAGAGACGCCAAAAAGTTGATTGTGATGGCCTTGATTCATGGATAAGATATCCTTATTCGACCAATGATCCTTCTCAATGGCAGAGGCTAAGGACATTGATTGTGATGGCCTACTTGACCACCATAGCCCTCAAGCTAATGTCACTCTGGAGGTGATGGTGGTAGCAAATTTATCACCCTCAACTAGCTCTTCATCCCATAGACCCTAAGCTAACACCAATCGGGACTTTGGAGGTGATGACAATGATAAGTCCATCACTCTTGGCTAGCTCTTCAAGTGTGTTGGCGATGCACACATTGATGACATCACCAACTACGATGGCTGCACCTCCCCAGAGTGCCACGTCCTCAAGATCAATGACTTCACTCCTAAAGGTGGCACCAGTGACCACTTGGCCCCCCACCCTGTCTCTTTCATCCTTGCCATCGACTCCACTGTTGAAGGCAATGTCTAAGACCAAGGCACCATTGAATTCTATCTTTGGCGAGGTGAGAGAAGGGGAGATATTCACGATGTTGGGGGCGAGTGGCTCCAACAAGTCCACCCTAATCGATGCCCTTGTGAATCGCATCAAGCAAGAGAGCCTGCAAGATTCCATCACCCTCAATGGTGAGAATCTCGAGGGGTAGCTCCTCAAGGTGATCTTTGCTTACATTATGCAAGACAACCTCATATATCCCATGCTAATCGTGGAAGAGACCTTGATGTTTTTCGAGAAGTTTTGGCTGCCACTGTCACTATCTACTTCAAAGAAGAAGAGTCAGGTACAAGCACTCACCAACTCGACTTTTAGTTTGTCACCAAGACCATCATTAGCGTTAAGATCTATCGTGACATCTCCAGCAAAGAGCATCATCGTGTGTCGATCGAAATCGACATCATCTATGGTAGGGGGAGGACTTGAAGCTCGCCACGGCAAGAAGACCCAAGATCTGCTACAATAGATAAGGGACATGAAATCCGCCATGGTGGAGAGAAGATTTGAAGTTCACCACGGTGGGAAGACCCAAGATCCGCTATGATGGAGAAGGGACATAAAACTCGCTACGACAAAAATAAGATTTGAAGCCTGCCATAATGGGAAGACTCGAGATCTGTTACGATAGAGAAGAGACTTGAAATCTGTTATGATGGAGATAAGATTTGAAACTTGCCATAGCGTAAAGAACCGAGATCCACTATAGCGGAGAAGGGAATATGAAATCCACTATGATAGAAAGAATATTTGAAGCTTGTCACGGTGGGAAGACCCAAGATCTACTATGGTAGAGAAGAGACTTAAAAATCCACTATGACGAAAGTACAAGGCCAAATACAATCGAGACACATGATTGAGAAAATTAATGTATGTCAAGATAAATTCGCTATGGTGAAGGCACAAGGCCAAATGCACCCAAGATGCATGAGTCGAAAAAACCCAACCCACACCAAGATAAATTCGCCATGGTGGGGTGCAACGCCAAATGCGCCTAAGATGCGTGAGTCGGGAAAACACGACTCGCATGGAGAGAAATTTACTACGACATAAGTACAAGACCAAATATGCCTAAGACGCTTAAGTTGGGAAAACCAGATACATGTCAAAATAAATCCGCTACGATGGAGGTGCAAAGCCAAATGCACCTAAAACGCGTGAATCAGAAAAACTTAACCTGCGTCAAGATAAATTTGCTACGATGGAGGTCTAAGGCTAAATGCACCCAAGACACGTGAGTTAGAAAACCCTGACCCACATAAAGATAAATCTATTATAATGGTGACATAAGGCCAAATGCGCTCGAGACACATGAGTTGGGAAAACCTAACCCGTGCTAAGATAAATCTACTGCGATGAAGGCGCAAGGCCAAATGTGCTCGAGATGCGTGAGTAAAAAAATCCAACAGGCACTAAGATAAATCTACTATGGTGTAGGTGCCAGGCCAAATGTGCTCGAGATATATGAGTTGGAAAAACCTAACCCGCTTGAAGAGAAATCCTCTACGGTGGAGGTATAAGGCCAAATACGCTCGAGATGCATGAGTTGGGAAAACTTAACATGCACCAAGATAAATCCACTACAATAGAGACAAAAGACCAAATGCACCCAAGACGCATAAGTCAAGAAAACCTGACTCGCACCAAGATAAATTTGTTACAGTGGAGGCGTAAGGGCAAATGCACCCAAGACACATGAGTCGAGAAAACCTAATCCGCATGAAAAGAAATCCACTATAGTGGAGGCGTAAGGCCTAATGCGTTCGGGATGCGTGAGTTGGGAAAACCCAACCCATATGAAGAGAAACCTATTATAGTGGAGGTGCAAGGCCAAATACGCCTAAGACATGTGAGTCGGCAAAACTCGACTTACGCTAAGATAAATCTGTGATGGTAGAGGCACAAGGCCAAATGTGCATGAGATGCATGAGTTAGAATAACCCGACTTGCATGAAGAGTAATTTGTTACGGCGGAGGCGCAAGACCATATGCGCTCAAGATACGTGAGTTAGGAAAACCTGACTCGTGCCAAGATAAATTCACTATGATGGAGGCGCAAGGTCAAATGCGCCCGAGATGCATGAGTCGGGAAAACCCGACCCGTGCTAAGATAAATCCACTACGATAGAGACATAAAGCAAAATACGCTTGAGACATGTGAGTCGGGAAAACCCGACTCGTGCTAAGATAAATTAGCTATGGTGGAAGCATAAGTCCAAATGTGCTCGAGATGCGTGAGTCAAGAAAACTCAACCTGTGTTAAGATAAATTCGCTACAACGAAGGCAAAAGGCCAAATGCGCCCGAGACATGAGTTGAGAAAACCCAACTTGTGCTAAGATAAATCTGTTATGGGAGAGACGCAAGGCCAAATGCACTCGAGATGTGTGAGTCGGGAAAACCTGCACTAAGAGAAATCTGCTATGCTAGAAACACAAGCCCAATATGCCTAAAACATCTGAAATAGGAAAACTAGACCCGCAATATGAGATCTCAAACACTCCCATATTGGACAAATTAAACGATGCACTTCGAACCTCTTTTGCAAGAGTCTTTAAGCATACCTTTGGAAGCGGACAAATAATACATAATCTATTATCAGTTGACACGTGGTTGCCATGTGAGATTCAAGTCACCATCCACTCATATACCTACATGGATGAAGATTTAAAATAAGAAAACATAATCTTCCTACTCATCTATTATAATAAAGAAGATAATCACAAGCTTTTTTCTTATCTGTTTGAAGACAATCACAAACTTCCTTTTCATTCATTATAACAAGGAAGACAATAACAAACTCCATTCTCATCCTCTAAGTATGAAATTACATTTTAAACGTAATGCGAGGGACTCCTTTTGAACTATTCAAATCCACGTTCGAAAATATTAGATTATTAACTTAGCATGGATAGATTAGAAAACCCCTTCTAATCTTAATTTTTATATAGACGACACTTCTGTGATATTTTTATTTTGGAAGCACAATATTTTTACCAAAGACATCTTGAACATTTTTGTATATACGAGTCTAGATCATATTGGACTGATCAAGATGATAATGATATTTTTTCTTAATAAATAATAATAAATTTATTAAGCTTATATATGTTAACATAAGTTCTCGTCAACTTTTGATATGAGATTCAATGTGTTAGACGCTCAAATTCGAAGATCACATCTATCAACCACCATGATTCTCAATAAAAAATATATCAGTATTATCTTGATTTAATGTTTCCGACATCACTAGTTGGCTCATCCAATGCAAGTAGCCCAGAAAATGCCAACGGACGAAACCGGCACAACCTTCTTGAAGGGTCAACCCAGACAGCCACGGGTCTCGCCTAACACGTCACTTGCACGTCAGATGGGGAGGATGTGGACCGTCTTCCCCACGTTCTTTTGGCACCACCGAGACTTTTCTTCCTTGGAATCATCATGATCCAAGGTAGAAGGTGACGCGCACCCCCAAACTCACACCTTAGAAATCAACACGACGTGTAATAAAAACAATCACAAATAATTTTACCTCTGCAGAAAACAGATATTGTTTTCACATCTCAAATCACATGCTAATTCGATGTAGAGATCTCTTCATCCACGAGTCTAACCACACGAACTCACCATCATTCCCCCTTAAATCAAAAGCCAATTCGATGGTCAACGCAGCTTCTCACGCGGCATGCGGTAACCACACCGTCTCGCGGTGCGATCACCGTCCTCCTTCCGAAATTAGCTACTCAATCCATTACGCCCGAACAAAAGTGTCCGGGTCACTGTAACAGTTGGAAACTTTCACGTAGCTCCCTCGCATTATGGAATATAATGCGTTTAACCATCTTGAGACGCTTACGAAGAGCACGACAGAGAACCACTGGCTCGCGGGGATCTCCTGTTCGAGCCCAGTCAGGCAACCTGGATTCGCATTAGTAAGTCGGTGGGCCCCATCATGTGACGAGGCACTCGAACCAGAGGTAAGGTGGCCTATCCATGATTTTGTGGCGGGCCCCGACGCGCAGCCGCGGCCTGCAGAGCCGTGCGAGTAAGTGCTTCACTAATTTCTCGCTTTCCTGAGGGGGAAACTTGAAAAGTTTAATTGGGAGGGGGGCAAATGTAAAAGTGTACAGGAGAATATTTGATTTCAAACGAGTAAAATAAATGACGCTCTACCAAAAAGTCTCGGGCTCTCCCCTCTCTCTCTCTCTCTCTCTCTCTCCTCGCCCGAGAACCCAAATCTAAGAAAGAGGCCTTTCCTCCTTCGAGTCTCCGGATCGGGGTGATTCTTGGGGGCGGCGGCGGCGGCGGCGGCGAAATCGATGGCGTCGGAGATCGAGGTGCTGGACGAGGGGACCGGCGTCGGGGGAGGAGCGCCGGTGTCGGCGGGAGATGGAGGAGGGGCGGAGGGGGATGAGGCCTTGAAGAACGATGTGTACACGGCGGCTGCGTACGGGGATCTGGAGAAGCTCCAGCGGCTGGTGGAGGCGGAGGGGTGCTCCGTCTCGGAGCCGGATGGGGCCGGGTATTACGCCCTCCAATGGGCCGCCCTCAATAACCGCACCGCCGCTGCCCTGTACATCATCGAGGTATCTTCTCCCCCGTCCCCGATGGTGTAAAATTAGGGGTTTTTCTTTTGGGTCCGTTGTTCTCTGTAGTGGCTATTGATCTGTTCCATCCGTTGATTCCTGTTGTTTGTATCAGCACGGAGGGGATGTCAATGCCACCGACAACACGGGGCAGACGGCGCTCCATTGGAGTGCAGTGCGGGGGCACATCCAGGTCGCTGAGCTACTGCTGAAGGAAGGTGCTCGTGTTGATGCGTCAGACTTGTACGGGTATCAGGTATGGTTTCCCTATAATTATTGTCGGAACAATTTTGTCTTTCTTCATGTTTCTCTGCTTGTGTTCTTCATAGGAAGAAGTTTAGTCATCATGTACACTTTAGTATCTATCGCCTCAGCGATGAACAATTGTCTTTGCTCTGTGGCCGACAACTTGACTTCGGCATGCTGATCTACGAACTGATTTAGATTTTATGGCTAGAGAAATAGGTAGAAGACCAGCTAAGAAATTTGGGAACTTCCCCTCTTAATATGCTGATTGGTCACGAATTCATACCTTTGTGTTACAGTTACGTAAAGTTTTATTAGAATGCAGACCTGCTGGTTGATTGAACATACCACATGCTTGATCACTCTTCCTGTAGATGACCATGAGTTAGTTACTTCCTTTCCTTTCTTTAGTCAGTGACATAAATGATCCGGCACAATTGTGATAGAGAGAAACTCCCAGGATGAGAAATACCTGTGGGGTGACAAATCATTGTTGTCATGCTGGAAAATAAAACACATCTGGGCAGCTTTCTATTTAGAAACCAAGCTATAAATCATTGTTACTTATAGTTTATTATACTATATATTTGTATTTTTTACCTGAAACTTAATTACATTATAATTTGATTTTCTTTTTTGTCTTTTGCACTTTTCCTATGTATTCATGACTCCACAATGATGAATTAGGAATTTCATATGAATAAGGACTGTGATTGAGCAATATCTTATGGAAATTGAGTTATATGAATTGAGAATATGAGGTACTAGAAGTCTAGGACCAGAAAAATATATTTTACTTGCTTTGGTTTGGCTTTTATGGTAAGTGTGGTATAGTCTGGCTTGAATTTTTTTTTTAACATAGCTTACTCATTTGACTTGTAATTACTCATAGACAGGATCGGTCTGGACTGTTGCAGTTCTACTATTAGTTGATGACAGATATCTTATCATAGATGAGGAATTCAGTGTCTTTGGAACAAAAATGTCTATGCTTTTAGCTGTGTTAGCCTGATGCTTGATCAACATATAAACATGCTCATATCTGTATGATTCTGTCTTTTGTAATTTCCTTCAAGTTTGCACCTGTTTTCTGGTCCCCTTAACAAGTTCCACTTGATTGCAGACCACTCATGTTGCAGCACAATATGGCCAGACAGCATTTCTCTATCATATTGTCACAAAATGGAATGCTGATCCAGATGTCCCTGATAATGATGGAAGAAGCCCCTTACACTGGTATATAATATTCTCCTATCTGCAGTAAAACCATGGAGCAATATCCTAATTCTTTTTTCCTCTGGGAGACTTGCTACCTTTTAATTTCACAAGTTGGTCTCAGCATCTTCTACCTTTTACAATTATGGGAATTATACTTATTTACTAGCAAATATTGTTTATATTTTTCATTTTAGTTTAATATATTTTTTAGGGCTGCTTACAAGGGATTTGCTGACTGCATACGTCTTCTTCTGTTTCTGGATGCCTATAGGGGGCGACAGGATAAAGAGGGTAAATTCTATTTTGTTTTATTTCATTTATACATTCTGTAATTTGATCATTTTGGCTCCTTTTAATTTCTTTGCGCTCGATAGGTTGTACTCCTCTTCACTGGTCTGCTATTAGAGGAAATCTAGAGGCATGTACAGTTCTAGTTCAAGCAGGGAAGAAAGAGGACCTGATGATCACAGATAATACCGGGTTAACTCCTGCTCAGCTTGCATCAGATAGGGGTCATCGGCAAGTTGCTTTTTTCCTTGTAGGTATTCTGTGTCTCTAATAGATTACTTCTTAATTAAAAGCATGTCAATTGTTTGCTTTGCATTTATTGTTGTTAGACATAAGGGAATCCCATCAGCTGGGGAATTTTTCTTTTGCTATTAAGTGCTTTTGCTTTCTTTTATTTTGCCTTGAGGTGTCAATAAATATTTCCTGTAATTTGTTTTGCTCTTGATGTTTGGTTTTTCAGGATCATTATCAAACAACTTGTTTATACCATACATCAGGACAGAAGCATGCAATGTAGCGGAAATTGCTTACATTGCATGTATAAACTAAAAGACAAGTATTGAAAAGGCATCATGCTCTCTAGTTGGTTCCCATATAGCTGATCACAAATGCTTGTGATCTATGGCTTTATTTGTTGTGGTCAAGATGTTTTCTGCTCTAAAAGATGTTTGGTTGTGCTTTTATATTGAGCACATTAGATTGTGATGAGACACATGCAGCAACATATATGAAAGTGTTTAATGCACTGCAGGATGATGAACATCAAATGGGAGTAATAATTGACATGGTTCTTACACACATGAATGCATAATTAAGGTAGATTCTTGGAAGGAAAAAAGCTTTTGATTATGTGCAATTCTAAGCAATAACAAGTTGAATTTAACCAGAAAAAGCTGCCCATGTTTTGAACTCTTCTAGAAGCCTGCATGGACTTTATCCTACTACCTTACAAATAGAGACTTTGAAGAGTATTGTTCGTCTCCCTTCCTCTGTGATTTGGTTTTTTGTATTATTTTTGATTGAAAGCTTATTTGGGTCAAAATAAGAAAGCCTTACCTTTATCTTAGAGGTTTGCCAGTTGGAACCCAGTGGGCAGCTATTTGTCAGTAGTAGACTCCTAATTCTGTGCACCAGTGGGCAGCTATTTGTCAGTTTCCTTAATCAATTATCTTTCAAAGGATTGGTTCTTCGCTAGTTTACTTGACCTGTGCATGTATACATACAGTCATGCATGCATATACATTATGTGTCCGTGTTTGTGAGCCTGACTGTTAGGATACCACATGCATGTGTATGTAAATAGTACACATACAGGTGTCTTGTGTTTGTGAGACTGTTTATTAGGACCCTAGAAAAATACTGCATTGCAGCTAGCAATGTCCTCGCTTTGACTAAATAATTAGCTGAGGTAATTTGTTGCCTCCCTATTGTGCAAGCTCCAAGAATAAACGCTCTGCAATTTTATGTGGTTATAACTCTTTTATCTGCTGGCATTATTCCCTCTTGAAATGTAGTGTAATGTTCTAAATTCTAGTTTCATTTTCTAATCTATAAACTCTTCTAATTGGAATTATCTGAAGCTGACTTGCTAGCTGAGTAGTCAGATTGGTTAGTTCACCAATTGCGTTTTGGATCTTTCTTGGGCTTGCATAGAACTGTTGAGGTTTCTCTAAATGGTGCCTGAATGTTCAATTCTAGAAGCTGTATCTAAACGATATACTAAATGAGTATGGTTTTCATCTACTCCAGTTTAGCACATTCCATCTGAACTTTAGAGTTGGTAAAATAAGCTACTGTTTAAGCTTCTGTAGACTATTATGCATTTTTTCCTGTTATAGTTTGTCTTGCGTACCTTAAACTTGTCTCTGTATTGTACCTAATATTACTTGAGTTATGCAGGGCAATGCTAGACGTGTACTCGATAGGCGCTGCAATGGGAATAGTCACCTGGGAAAGCTATCAAAATTGGGACTTGCACCTGCTCTTTGGTGCGTCATAGTAGCCATGCTGCTTACATATGTACATTCAGTTATTGCAGGTATATTTTGTTATGTGATTCATAACATGCCCATCCTGTCAAATAAATTGAACATGTAGACTTACTCTTCTATTTTCTTTTGTTTTGTGGATGTAGGTTCTTACATCCTGAAATTGACATTTGTATTTGGGCTTTTTGCCTGGTCAGGATTTTTCCTGGCAACTGCAGGATTAGTCATGTTTTATAGATGTAGCAGGTACTCTCAGCTTATCCACAGTTTGTTTTCTTGCATAACTAAATATTTAAATAGATTGTAATGTGGAACTCAATGATTTATGATGTGTGATGGTTTGTTTCTGTAAATCAGTGTTTCCTGGAAGTGGTACTTATCCTAGCTATTGCATAGTTCATGTTATGAGTACCAAAGACAGTTGATGTGAGAAATACATGATCTTTGCTCTTCTATATATATGTTGAGCTGTTGGACAATTCTTTTTAAACTTGCACATTGTTATACACAAATTATATGTTACGTGGAAAAATTATCTACAAGATTCAAAGCTTCTGCTAGCTTTTATTATATTGTAAAAATTTTATTGGTTCACATTAGTCTTACTGCCAATTTTGATTATAATGGTGTAAGTGGATCATTAGACTGGAAATGTAGCTGAAGCTAAGTTACCTTACATTATGGTGAGACAGTTTGTGCATGTTTTTACGTTCACTTAGTTCCAATTTCTCCAAGCAGCTTGTATTTTGGTCCGTATCTGTAAGTTGCTAGAATAAATTCAATGGTGTTCAAATGTGTTATTACCTAATTTTTTAACATATTAGTTATTTCACATGATATAGTTATCCTAATAGTTGAAATGGTATCAAAGCAGATGGCTCAGGTCATTACTATTTTATTCATACGATCCTATTTAATCATCACTTGAAGTAAAACCATGTACCTTTTTTTATTCATTAAACAAGGATTGGTTTTTTCGACTCATTTTGTTATAATGATTAGTTATTCATTTTAATCCTATCAATCAAAATTGCTGATGGGTCCGTCAAATTTAGGATCCAAGCCCTTTAGCATCCATTTGGCAGAAAAGAAGGCAGTTGACAGTTGTATTCATGTCAAATGCATTCCAAAATTTTCATTCTTACAGGTATTTGTAGTCATTGCTGGATTTTAGCAGTTGAACCAAATTTGTATGGTTATGGTAAATGGTTTTGGCCCAGATGTTTGTACTCTGTTGTGGAGAGGGCTTCTCTCCCTTTTATAGCCTAAAGCCTGTGGGTTAGCATAAAGTTAATAAAGAAAAAGGAGTGCATCATCGGGAATTCAGGTCCATAGTGCTTAAAGCACTCAAAAAGTTGTGATGGATGCTAGTAACGAAGGTAGTCCTCTAGAATTACAAAGTTGTGTATTCTAGTTTAGGACTGAAGGTCCCATGTTATCACAATCTATTATATCAATACACTTATATATGTTATTCATTTGGATCACTTAAGAAAATAGGTGAAAAGAAGAAAATGATGATCATGTGTAGGGATGTAAGAAGAGGTGATGGAAGGGTATATGGAGGATTGGCCTGTTGATACTTGAAGGGGATACCCAGGGCAGGCAGCAGGCAAGCATTAGGTGGATGGAGTACGGTGGCGTGGCGCTTTATTATATTAATATATATGTCACTCATTTGGTTTGTTTAAGACAATCGATAAAACGAAGAAAATGAGGATCACTTGCAGGGATGCAGGAAGAGGTGATGGAGGGGGATATGGAGGATTGGCCTGTTGAAAAATGATTCTGAGGGCATCAAGCATTAGGTGGATGCAGTGGGGTGGGGTGGTGCTTGGTCAGTATGTGTTTTATACAGGTCTTCTTTTAAAAATAAATAATCCATACTTCTCTTTTGCTTTATGTGAATGAACATTGTAGACCAGGTATGTTGCTTTGTGTTTATATACACAACTGAATTTTATTGCAGTTCTCTGATCCACTTTTTGCACACAGGTACTAGGAAAATACATATATATTCAATGATTATGTCAATTTAGATGTGTGAACTCATCTCACTGCAATATTTTGATTTGCCACAGGAAAGATCCTGGTTTCATCAACAGGAATGTACGGGATGCACAAAGCCTCAGAGATGACGTGAGCTGCAAACTTGGCTTGCTCTGTTACTAGCTACTGTAGATATATATTTTTTCTCTTTATAACAATGCCACAACCTTATGTGTCTGTATTTTTGAATCTTAACAAGTATACATCATTTGCTCAACAAAATCCCCTAGACGCATTTTAACTAGATTGTTAGCTATAAATACATGCTACATTGTCCTTGTACAGGTGAGGAAGATGCATATTGAATCATGAGTAGTGACTTCATATGTCATGAGCATATATGTCTCCTCCCAACAAAGTAGGGATTTCTTTTATACCCATTAGTACCATATACACTGTATTGCAGGGCACGCCATGCCACTCATTTCATTTATAATCATGTGGTGACTTTATATGTCATGAACTGCATAGGCACTCCATGCCTCTCATTTCATACTGATTATGCTGTGATGCTAACAAGTATTTTAACAGGGAAGCATACTGCAAGAATGAAATATGCTTCAACTTTTTTCTTTTTAAGATTTTAGCTCTGTATTTCCATAAATACTTTTTTGTCTTACACTAACTGTAATCAATGATTCTATTAGTGTATGCATAATGCACAGATGTCACCACTTTCGACACGATCAGTACTCCTGATAACCTTTTTTATTAGGTATTGTGAAAAATAGAATATGATTTGAAAAGGAGATTATGGCAGATGCTAATCAGCGACAAAGACTTTTGATTCACAAATGCAAATGACCAAAATTTTTATATTTCCTTCAGAATTGCTTATGATTCACTACTTTTATATTTGTGCTTATAGGAACCCTTATTAAAGACAGATTTAAACCATCCTGCCCTTTTGGCTGGGAATTGGTCCCAGTTGTGTGCAACATGCAAGGTACTCTTATATCCATATGAGGAAACTTTTTTTTCTTTATCTTATTCTTGGAATTTCTGATCTAAATTTGATTGAAATAATGTTTAGATTGTCAGGCCAGTACGTGCAAAACATTGTTCCACTTGTGACCGTTGTGTCGAGCAGTTTGATCATCACTGTCCTTGGGTATCAAATTGTATTGGCAAGGTTCTCGTGACACTCGTGACTTGCTTCTCAGTTGTTTGTTATTCTTTGTTCTTCTGAAAGCATTGTGATGTTAGTTGTGCAATTTGATCGATTCCCGACTATGTTAGTTTCTTGATATTCTAATTTGTTAACCATTGATCTGCAGAGGAATAAGTGGGACTTTTTCATGTTTCTTATTCTAGAAGTTTCAGCAATGATTATTACTGGTCTGGTGACCATTACAAGTACGTATCTTTTAAAGTTGTCTACTTAAACTTTCCTCTTTGAATTAGTCTTTTGCTGTTATTTGACTCACTGCTAAGAAAAGCAAATACTTCCTGCAGGAATCGTGAAAGATCCCTCTCCACCATCTTTTGGTGGATGGTTGAGTCATAATGCTAGTGAGCATCCTGGTGCGATATCATTTCTGATAATGGATTTTTTTCTCTTCTTTGGAGTTGCTGTCTTAACTGCTGTCCAAGCATCACAGGTACTCACTTGGGGTTTTCTGCTACTCCATTGCATTATTTGTATGACAAATGAGAATCTGTGCGAAAATATCAGTATTCAAATCTTAATGTGACTATAGCTTTTACATTTCAGTTCTATTTGTATTTCTTTTCTTTTTCCCTATACATAATGGTGGAGAACATAATATTTATATTTTAATTGAGTTAAAACACTCTTTCTACTGGGTTTTTACAGAAATATAAAGATTTTGAATCTCATGGAAGAATCCAGAAATAAACAATATGCTGGTGTGGCTAATCAAGCAAACAACTTACTGAATTATGCTTTAAGCACTTTGGTAGAATATAACAACTTACCAAAAATGCTTTAATTTTCATCACATGCACCTTTCTCTTTCATTTTCTAAATGTGGGTGGACAAAGAAATGTTATAATGCTTTTATTCCAGGGAAGGTTTTCTGTACTGTCCTGACCCTCTTGTTATGCTAACCCAACATGCTGGCTTCATGGAGTAGAAGTTTATGCCATTTCTCCAACTGTTGCTTAAGTACTATTATTGGTTACATAGTTTTCTTTATTTTTTTGGGGCACAGATCTCACGGAACATTACAACAAATGAAATGGCAAATGCTATGAGATATAGCTACCTCAGAGGTCCAGGTGGAAGGTTTAGAAACCCCTATGATCATGGCATCCGCAAGAACTGCTTGGATTTCTTTATAAAAGGATACAATGAAGATGTGGAGCTCCCAGACCAGACACAGCCCTCGGAAGGAACAGGGATGATTCAGATGACAAGAAGCACAGATTTACAGAATGGGGAGAACCATTTGCATCAGAGTGGCAACGGTCACATCTGTGTCGATGTTCAAACCAAAAATTCAAGACCCCACGGCCATGCTAATTCGTTGAAGTGCTGCCACAACAATAAAATCGATGGTGCCCCTCTAGGATTGGGCTTGGGACTTGGTCGCAACAATCGGCACAACTCTCGGATTCTGCCATTATGATCTTCTACATACCAGGATAGCATGAGATTGTGCCTCTTGTATCATAACCATTGAAATATTTTGCAGTCTTTCTTGTTCGAATCTAGATGTTCCCTCTTAGATATTGTATCATCTTGGATCAGTTTTGTTCTCATGGATGTTGTAACCCCGAATATTAGATTTTTAGTATCAGACGATTTCAGATATGATTTTACATGATTGGCAAAAGATATATATAGCCAATCTCAAATAATTATGATTTTGTGGCTTTATTATTGTTGGTCAGACTCCTGTCAAGTAAGATAATTCAAAACTTGTTCGTGTGACAAATATTCTCTATTCTTGAGAGATGTATTATTCCATAAATTTTTTCTTGTTTTTGATGGTTTGTAGGAAAAGGAAAACAACAAAATAACCGATTTCAGAAGGACCAAAAATATCTTATTTAAAATTTACAGGAAAAATTGAAAAAAGGGCAAACTTTGAAAAAAAAAAAGACAAAAATCTCGAAAATGTTCTATAAAAAAAAGAAGTCTCTGTGGCATGATTCGGCCCTCTTCCGGGAGTTGGCTTGTGGGGCCCATACGTGGCCCACACCATTACGAGTTGTGGGACCTGTTGAGCTGATGGGCCTCAATAGAGCGGACTACAAATGGGCTGAGCCTATTCCTTCATAGATGGACCACTTTTATACGAAGCTCGAAGCCGTCTCTATAAGAAGGCTCAGCGTCGCTCCTGTATTGCCGGCGCTAGGGTTTGGATTTAGCGTGCGAGGAGCTCCACAGCCTCTCTCTCTCTTTGGCCGACGCTTCCGTTCCTTCGTTCCTCGTTCTTCTCCCCTGATCGGTCATGGCAGAACAGGTCAGATCTCGTCTCCGCTTTATGAACTTGTCTGTTCTGTCACGCCCACTCGTCTTCTTCCTAAAGGGAAAAATCCCTTCTTTATTAGTTTAGATGTGTGGTGTTTTGGCGTGTTTGATTGATGTATCGTAGTTGGGATTGTTAGCGCCTCGGTTCTGAGATCCAGCTATTTGAATGGAAGAATGTGTTGAGTGCTGCAGTTTAGCATACATGATAGGATGCCTTTTTACATTTGGAGAACTGAAATAAGACATCTTCTGACTTTATCTAATGGAGTGTTAGAATCAAATAGGAACAAAGAACCAAAACCAGATGCGGGCAAGTAGGATCAAGCTAAAATGAAAAAGCTGAAGATCAAAACCAATTAGAATAATAACACCAAGATGTAACGTGGTAAAACCCTCAATTGGTTGAGGGAAACATCCACGGACAAGCAAGAAGGTATTCGCCATAAAAGATGAGATTACAACATTCTCTTTAATACAATGAAAAACAACACCTCTCTTGTAATAGGAGAAACTAAGAAGGAACCAAATTATTCCTCTTTCTTCCCTTTCCTTCCCTATTCCTCGCTGCACTTTGCACTGGATTGGATTTAATTCGGATGCTGCATCTCAATGACTTGGCACGAGAGGGGAGAACTCCTTCCCTCGTACATCAACAAGAGATAGAGATGGGAAGTTGCAAATCCCCACATTGCATCGGAGGATGCAACTCCCTTGTCCATGTGGGTGCAACTACCCAATCACACAGAGGTGGTTGTGATTGCCTCCTCAGTTCCTTTTTTTAGTTTTATCGTTATCTCTTCATAATCTCCCACTTAAAACAAAAAATAAAAAGGAAATGAAAGCCTTCATCCTTGCTTGTCAAGTCTTGTTGCTTACGTCTCCGCCAGGCCATAAGATCTATTGCACACAAACTTATTTGTGTTGATTGTCTTTGTTATAACATCTGCTAGGCTGTTCATTGTGTCGATCCTCTATTATTTTTGTGATACCATCCTCCACTGTTTCTCGGACGAAGTGATATTAAACTCTTATGTGTTTTGTCCTGTAATGGAAGGTTGGATTCTTTGCGATATGTAAGGCACTCTAACTATCATAGTACAAGAGAATAGCCTCCTGCTTATGCCTAAGTTTCTTTATTAACCTTCTAATACAATTTTTCTCCTTGCAAGCTTGTATAGTTGTCATGGACTCTGCTTCTGTAGTAGATAGAACTACCATAGGATAAACCAAATTCTTTTTTTTCTTTTTTAGCAAAACCCTCTAGTTGGAGCATATAAATCTCTTCTTTAAGTTCATCATGAAGAAATGTGGTTTTCAAATCTAATTGTTCTATATGTAAGTCAAATGTACCACATAAAGCCAGAATTATTCGAACTGTAGTAAGTCAAACAACAGGGGAAAATATTTCATTAAAGTCAATACCTTCTTTTAGAGCATATCCTTTCACCACCAGTCGTACACGATGTCGCTCCACTTGATCATTGCTCTCTCTTGATCTTGTAATCCGATATGTTTTCGATGGCTTTTCTTCCTTGCGGTAGTGGGACAAGTTTCCAAGTCTTGTTTTTGTGTAAAGCTTCAATTACTTTTCGTATTATTGTCATCCACAAAGATGCATCTGGATTACATATAGCCCTTTGAATAGTTGATGGCTCTCCATTCTTTGTTAGAAGATCATATGCACATTGTCTTCGAAACATACTCATTATGATAAGTCGGTGGTACCCTTTTACGAGTTGACTGTTGAACTTCTAGAGTCTCGGATTGGACTAGCACTTGTTCATCATGCTCCGATGCTGCTTTAGAAGAATCCTCTTCCACCTAAACTTCAATAGTTTTTGAACTTTTGATCTTTGTGCTATCATTTGCATCTTTTTATAAAATTTCTACAAAGATGACATCTCTACTGATGATTATCTTATGGTTAGTGGGGTCCTGTAAGTGATATCCCTTCACTCCATCAACAAAGCCCAAGAATATACACGTTCTGGACTTGGAATCAAGCTTCGTTCTTTTCGTGGCATTATATATTATATATGTCAGACTGTCACGGATTTAGATGGTTTTGCTTAAGTCGTGTGGCACCCTTGCGTGTTCGTCCGTAAAGGTCAGTCTCCCCGAAATCTTCTATGGTCCCTTAGGACCTACAAAAAAGAAAACGGGTTAGAGAAAGCGCCTCATTCAGGATCCATAAGCAATCATTTCTGTAAACACTTCATAGCCAATGTAAATTACAAACAAACTTTACAAGCTCTGAACGATTGCACAACAAAGGGTCCAAAATGGTTCACTACAGATCGACATCTCTCATAAATGTCCACATGATACAACATTTATTTACAAGCCTAAAACGACCACCAAACCCAACTAAACGGGGGTTGTTAAGCCTTCGTCCGTCCCTCTACATGCTGTGCAAAGCATGAACAAACCAAAAGACACGGACATAAAGCATTATATCGAACACCCCATTTACAATTTTGACCGTGACATTTGCTCCCACTTATTTCTTCGACATCCTCGTCGAAGCCCTTGCTAACGCTGCAACTCCTCGCTTTTGTTGAGTCTTTAATCTTTCGCTTCAACTGCAATGCGTATCTTGGCTCTCCGTTGCTCTTCGCTGCTATTGTTGAGTAGTCAAACTTTTAATCCATCATGCTGTTTCAACTTTTATCTGATGTAAAATTTGATGCACGCACGGAAGACCCACCTCTGCAATACCATGACATTTACTCCTTAAATCCATAGTCTTTTTTGTTATCGTGCTATTCATCGAAGTGGAGCTCCCAGTAGCTCTCGATCATACCTTTGTATGATATAGCCCCTCGCAAGACTAGATTCGTGTATTGTATTATCACGAATTGTTTCACCACGATCCGTTACACCATGTCGTCTCCTAGTGACATCTCTATTGTATTATTATCTTTGTGGGATGAACTCAAATTGTGATCCCTTCATGTGTAGCCTCTGTCAACACATCACAGGGCCTCTTCCGTATTCGATTGTGTTTGCTCATTTGGCAATCGACCTTCGTCCACCTGTTCTCGAGTCACACCTAGATGAAGCACCGCTTTATGATAGTCCATCGCCTTGTAGCTCCCGAAGTCCATCGATTTCGTTGAAATTGGTGCACCATTGTTTAAATCCTAGCCATCTGCCCTTATTAGCACAATCTTTGTCGCGCACCACTTCTTTTATGACAACTTGAATGGTAGCATTGTGGCATATTCTTCAAGAGTATTCGTCTCTGCATCTCTTGCCCTGTGTCAAGGCCTTCTGAACCCAACTTTATCTCCGTAAGTTGAGTTGCCTTGGTTCCTCCATCAAATGCTTCTTCGAGATAAGGTGCATGTGCTTAGAAGCTCCCTTCGTCTTTGACACTATGCAAAATGAGTACGCTCCATCAGAATGAAGGACCCATAGAATGACATGATCCCGCTCTTGTCTCTATAAGAGTTCATGCCTTTGACATCTGTCCAAGGAAAGCTCTGTGTCTCTGCTTTAATATTCCGTCTTCTATGCCAGCTCCCTTCATGCGACTTGGGTACTCTGCCAAGTTACACCCAAGTTGCTTCGCTCTTCGATTTGCATTGAGTTGATGATAATCCTCACTCATGCCCATCATTTCACGGGTTAGCCCTCTATTGAGTCTGATCTCCATATCGACTCCAAGTGTGCCTTTATTTGTGTTGCCTTGGATCTATCCCCCACTTGATCTTGCAATGCATCCCCCAATGTATTATCTCATGCGAGATCATGTGACAACTTATCGTCACTCGTTCAGTCTGTTGAGCTTTGTAAAGTTGTTTTGAGATACTCTTCCTCAACATGTACGGTCTGTTGCACATGGTTCTTCCTCTAGAGAACCGAGACTTATCCCTCCTACTAGATATCTTTCTCATTGGAGCAACTTCTCTCTTCGTTTCATTTTCTCTAAAAGTTTCAATGACCACCATTCCCTTGTACTACTCTGCCTTGTTGAACAAACTGTGTATTGTTTTGTCTCCCGCAAACGCACTTGCTAGATTGCGACTCCACGTCAATACAACTCTTGCTGCATCCCTCAAGGCGTAGCAACATGTTGAACTCACTGCACACTTCACCCTTCTACAGACGTATCCTTCTCATGCTGAAGAGAAAGTTTCAATGCTCTATGATGCTAAGTTTCGGTCGCCTTGGGATGACCACGAACACTCTATCGTTCGCATACAAGCCCTTGCATGAGTACCAATTTCTTCGAGTTAGCAATTCCACTCACCTCTGTGAGTTTTGCACAACTCTTTGGATCGCTGAACAACTCATTCCACCTTGCATGGTCTCATCCTTTACCAAGCGCCTCATTTGCATTGAACACCATCAAGTATGGTTGCCAACGTTAAGCCGTAGCTCAAACTCAGCCATCCCAACCTTTGTGCGCTACGTATTCTTCCCATCTTGCTTATCTTCATAGTGCCTCTTGCGCGAAGGGTTGGCCATTCCTCGGAATGCCAATCTCATATGCCTGCTCCTCTGAGCGACTCCTTTTCCCTATATCTCCATACTCGTTTTCCCCCCAAGCGGTCGCACGTGCTGGTTGCCCTCAACGCAGCCTCGTTAGATCACCCACGTTTGCATGCTAAGTGTTTTTATAAGTGTTTGTCCTGCTCTGATACCATCTATCATGGGCTTAGTTGGTTTTGCTTAAGTCATGCGGCAC